GGTACTTAAGGATATGGTTTAGGGGGTAGACAGGAACAGTTGGACATGATGATCTCAGAGGTCTTTTCCAACGGAGCAATTCTGTGGTTCTGTGATTCTGTGATTCTGTGATTTTGTGAAGGATATCGCGATGGGCATTCCTATCTTTGAAAAAAAAGTCATTGACATTTCACAAGAATTAACTGGGCCTTTTAGATTAGAATTAAATCCATGGTGCAAAGAATGACTGCCTGCTCTCTTCAAAACATGTGTCCAAGGTTGATCCTTAGCACAAAAGTTTTCCCATAAATCAAAGACACAGGTTCTGAACTAGGAGAAAGCAGCCTCCCCCATCCCCTTTCTTCCTCCTACCCCAGACAAACTTTTGGCACTTCACCCTGTGCCAACAAATGCAAGCTTCCTCCCCAGATGCATTTCTCGGGGCCTTGATGTGCCTTTCACAAATATGTTTTTGTATTGTTACAGAGGGATCTGAGCTGCAGTTGGAGCCCAGGTCACAATCCAGCCATTCTGAAACTTCAAAGGTTTTAGGCTTACATTTCTGACTAGAAAGGAGAGCAGCAAAGTCTGGATTTACACTTTGTTTTATTGCTGGGATGATTAATATAAGGAGGTTTCACACTCGCCAGCCCCCAATTATCACATCCAGCTGCTCCACACAGCATTTCAAAATGAAATAAAAATAATAATAATTTTAAAAAATACTGGATGAATATTATCCCTCCCAGAGTCCTTGAAGTCATAAGTTTAAGTAGCAACTAGGAAAGAGGGAAATCGGAAAGAAGGAAAATTGGAAAGAGGGAAAATATTACTATAACATTACAGGATGCTGCAGCTCAGGCTATTCAGAGCTGAGAAGGGGACGGTGCATCCAGGACAGTGTGGCAATGGCAGAGGAGGAGACAAGAGAAAGGCACTGCATGGGGTAAAGCCACATGAGCAAGGTAGGAGCCCTCTCTCAACAGCACTGCCAACAAATGGACACTCAGACAACACACTTCACCCTAAGTAGACCCTTCGCAGAGACAGGCAAGCACTTATGTCCCCCATTTTGTTCAGAAGCATTGATGCTTTTGAAATAACAAAGCCAAAAAAATAACCAAACAACCAAAAAGCCACTGTGGCCAAACAAATGATGTGCAGGGGCAGATCGATCTCTGCTCGTACAACAGCCCAGAGCAGCAGCCAACTCCAGTAAAATCAGCTGCAATGGTATTGCTGGGGTGCAGAGAGGGGAAGTTATTTCTTCAGC